ACAGCTTCAGGACCACAGGACCATGAGGCAATGGTGGGTGAGAGGTAGGCGGGCTCAAGCCATCATTGACATTTCCCCTGGGATGAGGAGTCTACTGGCCTGCTCTTCCTGGTTTGACCTTACTTGGAGTACCTGGAATTCCAACCAGGAATGCCCTCTAGGTAGAGGGCTGGTGAGGGGGTGGGGCAGCTGACAGTGAGTGGCCGCTGAGTCTTCGTATTAAAAACATGTTTCATTGAAAATTCGAGGGAAACACTGGCCAAGGCTGGGTGCCTGTCCCCAGCAGCAAACACAGACAGACCCATCAGCACTAAGCATGGTGTCCTTTTGAAAGACCAGTGAGCAGAAACATTCACTAATGGGGGCAGGCTGCTGGCAAGGGCCCTGGTGGCCTGGCCAGACATATCCACAGGATGTGCCCTTGTTGAGATCTGGGAGGTTACCCCTGGGGACCTGGGGATGGCTCCTGGGTCTTTCTTCCATCCAGGTGACACTGCCCAGCAAGCGTTCATCTCCCTGGGGTCTCCCCACCCTGCCTGGGGGACTCCTGACCTCGGGTCTCTCCTATGGGAGCACTGGGCTTCTAAGCCGTGAACTAATGCATGGCAGACAGGCTTACAACCAAAAGGGGCGTGGTGTATGCTGGGTGGGGGGGCATGGTGTATGCGAGTATGCGAGTATGCGAGTGAGCGAGCTTGCAGCCCCAAGTAATTCTCAAGAAGCCTACAGGAGTCTTCAAAAGCTCATAGAAATGTGTGTTCTGAAAAAGTAAGCAGGGATTTCAAAGTTGTTTTTTTTTTTTTTTTTTTTTGCACCAAAGCCAACTTATACTTAATTTCCATTTTTCATGAAGGTTTCAAAGTTCCTGTTGGAGAATCACCCAGACTGCCTGTGAGTGTGGGAATTCCAGGCCCTTGCGGAAAGCCCACAGAGTCGGATGTCCTGGGAGCCTGCCTCGGCACCTGACGCTTTACAGAATGTCCCTGGGGACAGGTGGACGTGTACGGAGCAGTGGCACCCACAGCCCCACAGGAGCGCCGCTGAGCTGGGGTCCCCGCCCGCGCACGCGCAGACGCTGAGGCGCTCCGGGCCTTAAAGGGGATTGCAGCCTGGCTTTGCCAGCACCACGGTTGGCAGAAGAGGGGGTTCCAGGGTCGGGGGCGCAACCCAGACCCGGGAGAGGGAACCACAGGGCGGAGCATCAGAACCACGTGCCATCGGTGTACTGGGTGGGGCTGAGCGTGCTCCCGGAGATGGGGGGCTGGCAGGGGAGCCCCTACAAAACAAAACAGCGCAAGGTTCCCCGCCCTGGGAGGCGCCGAGGAGCTCTCTTGGATATGCAAACCCAGCCCGCAGCAGGGAGCTTGCAAACTGAATCGGCTGAAATCGGGTCATGGGTGTTATTAATTTCATGTGTTTAAAGGACTTTGCGTGTAGTAAACACTCTGAATGAGGGCGGCCGGGAGTGGAGGGTGCGGCGGGATGAAAGCCTGCAGCGGAGGGAGCCCGCTCCCACTCACCCCACCTCCCCTGCTGCTTTCCTGCCTCGCTCTTTATTTATAGCTGAACTTGGCCTTCTGGGGTCTCCCTGGGTCACAGAGACACTTTTTATTGTGTCAGAGACGTCTTTCTGCCTGTGATCAGAAGCCAATTTTTGTGACACTTGTCTGCCACCCAGGGACAAGCACGTGTGAATCCGTGACAAAAGGGATAAGAAGGAGGCAAAGCGAAATGCAGAACTGTTTCACTGGGTCTTTCTCAACCGAACCAAAGAGAAAGAAGGCAGCATGAGGCGCGTGGAGGCCTGTGGGTCTGGGTGGCCGCCAGCCTGGCCCTGCCACGTCGTCTTGTTGGGTGACCCTGAAGGAGGCCCGGCCCTCTCTGGACACTAGAGGATCTTCCGGATCTCTTTCAGGTCTGACATTCGCTGAATTATGAGTCACACACCAGCGCAGCATAAATAGATGTCGATGAATTTCCCATTAAAAAGAAACTCATCTTGAGCCATGGCGAGCATTTGAGGCCGTCATCTCTAATTGCTCATCAGGTCGGAGTTATGGATTCTCTGGCTCCGATGAGAAAGCGCACTTAGAAGTGGTTATAAATGAGCCGTAACTAAGATACATCAGGCATCCAGGCCAAATGCCGAGCTCCAGGACCACGAGCGAAGGCGAAACACTTCCCCGATTCTGTAGCTCTCTACCCTCCCATCTCAACTTCGGACCAGAAGGCAGTGGCTTGCATATTTGTTCCCCCAACTCAAGTGGGTGGTCCCCCAAAGTCTTGAAGTAATTAATGGTACTAAGAGAGTAGGAACTTTATCCAGTTATGGTGTCTTCAGGCAGGGCCTTTGGGAAGAGATTAGACTGGACTAGGCTGCTGGGATGGAGGCCCCAAGATAGGATCCGGAGAGCCTTATAATGAGACAGCAAGGGGCTGGCGCTGTGGCGCAGTGGGTAATGCTGCTGCCTGCAGCACCGGCAGTCCTTATGGGGGCTGGTTCAAGTCCCAGCTGCTCCACTTCTGATCCAGCTCTCTGCTACAGCCTGGAAAAGCAGTGGAAGATGGCCCAAGTGCTTGGGCCCCTGCACTCATGTGGGAGACCCAGAAGAAGCTCCTGGCTCCTGGCTTCAGGTTGCCTCAGGTCCAGCCATTGAGGCCAGCTTGGGAGTGAACCAGCAAATGGAAGACATCTCTCTCTCTCTGCCTCTGCCTCCATCTCTCTGTAGCTCTGCCTTTCAAATAAATAAATGAATCTTTAAAAAAATACATAAGAGAGTACAGACATGTATGCAGACGTGTGTGCACCTGTCTCCCACCACCTCCGGCGAGACCCCTGTCATCAGAGACTGCACCAACAGGAATGCCTGCTCTTGGGCTGTGAACCCCCAGAACCACAAGCCCAGAGCAACCTCTTTTCTCTCTAAAGTGGCCTGCCTTAGGTGCTTTGTTACAGTGAGGAGAAGCTGACACAGATAATATGCATCCACTCTGCTAGGTAAGAAACACAGTATGAAATAAGTGCCCACGTATGAAACATCTCTGCCTCACTGCCACCAACAGGGCCCTGGGGAAAATCCCACTCCCGGCCGGGTCTCAGCCCAGGAACCTGCACCCTCGGGAGGCAGGGGTCTCAGAGCTGCTGGGTGTGGTCAGAAGGGGGCTGTGGGAGGAGGGGGCTGGGTAGGCAGGGTCCTGGGCACCTCCACCATTTAACTGAGAAACACATGAACTCCTTAATCTGTTTCCGAGACGGAGCTCCACGTGAGATTTTATAAGAGGGTCTGAGGATAAAGATCACTTTATGAAACCACTGGCTGGAGTGAAACTGCTCAAGTGTCCAGCCTGCAGTTGGGCTGTGTTGTAAAAACAAGACCTTGCCAGTGATCCTCTGGGCCCAGACTCCTGAGCTGGGGAAAAGATGCCCAGCGCCCTCATGTCCAGAGTGGCTTTGCCCAAGGGTTGCAGAAATGACCTCTTATGAGCAAACCTCAGCGCCTCCTCGCTGTCCCGAGCAGCGGTTCTTAAGCTAGAATCGCCTGGAAGGTTCGTGAAGCCTCCGATGCCTGGCCCCACGTCCAGGGACGGGATGTGGGCAGGGCCTGGGACTGTGCATGGCTAACAAGCCCCAGGTGAGGCTGATCACGCTGTGAGAGTGGCTGGCCTGCATGACGGAGCCCAGTCTCCTCCGCTCGCCCCTCCAGAGCCAGACCGCGACTTACGTCCCCGGCTCACCACCCACTTCCCCGGGTTCTGGCCCAGTCACTGTCCCCCCACCCTCCTCCTATGCTCGCCATGCTCTGCCCAGACTGCCCGCCATTCCAGGCCTAGTCCCAGCGCCGCCTCTTCCAGAAAGCCTTCCCTGCCTTTTCCACCAAAGTAGTTTCTCCTTGGTGCCCAGCACTTTAACCTTACGCCATTTCTGTTCAGGTCTTGCCCCTGCCTCTGGACCACACACCCTGGGGTAGGAAGTGCATCCCCAGCACTGTCCGCACCCACAGAGGCCCAGGCCCGCCAGACCAACGGTGCAAGTCAGAACACACCCACACACGAACATGCACATTTAAGAAACACGCCCATCAGCTCAGCTCATTGACTCTGTAAATGACCCCAAAGCAGGACCCAGAACGGCACATTTGCCAGATGCATTCCCCATGTTTGCTGGAGCAGGGCCCACAGCAAACACGTCATCACGAGACAGAGACAGCCACCGTGTATGTTGTTACCAGAAGGCCATGTCCCGTGGCAATCAAGAGCGAGGCCCAGGTTCAAATCCCAGCTCTGTCTGTGATTAGCAGCGGTGCTGAAATGTGCTAAGGCCCAGGTGCCTCATCTTGGATGGAGGAAGTAGCACCCTGTGCCTATGGATGGCCGCAGATGCAGGCAGATCATTAAGAGGAACACCGGCTGGTATTTAATGAGCGCCTACCCCTGGGCATGGATGATTTAATCAGCCACAGAAAGTATTTAGCACATCATCTGCATTCCAGAACTATCAGTCACTGTGATCACTGCTAACTTTCCCAGTTTCCATGCAAGACATATAATATTGTCCCCATTTCCCAGATGAGAAACTTAAGGCTCAGCTCAAGCCACTTGCTCAACGAATACTGTGAAATGGCTGATTTTCAGAACTAGCTCGCAAGGTAGGTATTGTGGTGTTCCGATCACTCTGTGAATGAAAGCTCTGTAGTTCAAAGAAGGCAACTCGTAAGCGAAGGCCCAGCACTTGAACCTGACTTTGGGTACAGAGCTCCTGCTGGCTCAGCGCTTCAGCTTGGAAACTGCCCCTGCTGCGTGTACAGTGAACTCTCCCTGCCCTTTCTCATCCCTGGGTTATGTGGCAGTATTTCCCCAACAGGCCAGACAGCCCCTGTCCCCATTTCAACAGCCCTGTAATGCTCCGGCCCACCCCACCAGTCATGCAACAGCCCCCCTTCTTGCCTCGCCCATCTTTGGGGGCGCTAAGGAGGACAGAGCCCGGATGGCGTGGGACTGACCGTGACCCCGAAGAAGTTGGTCTCATTCATGGCGTTGAGGATGATCCTGCCGAGCGTGTGGTCTGTGTAGTTGAATTCTTGGATGCGCTGGTGCTGCTTGCTGGCATGCAGAGTCTCCATGGCCCTCTGCAGCGTCTTGGCAATGACCCAGATGCCGTCGTAGGCGTACCCGTGGAACTTGCTGGGCCCCACGCCCGACCGCTTGCTGTTGTACTCCCTCTCATACTGCTGCGGAGTCTGGAGAAATGAGGGGATCAGAGCAACACCAAGTTAGAGGTAGCAGGGACACTGGGCCCCAGGGACCTGGCGGGCTAAGCAGAGCCGCCGCTCGGCACCTCCTACTGCAGGCCAGGCGCAGGGCTGGGCCGCCTTTGTGCACAACCCCTAGTCCTCACAGCAACTGCGTGAAGTGGGCGCTGCTTTCATACCCATTTTACAGATGAGGAAACCGATTTGGGGAAGCCAACGTGCCTGGTGCCTCACAGCCACTGAGTGACAGGGCTGAGCTTTGTGCCCTGTCTGTCCAGCAAGGTTAGACAGAGGGAATAATGCACTCTTACCATGCCCACCCCTAGGTAGCTGCAGGCCCTGGGGCTGGAGTGGCCAGGGATGCCGCTGTGTGCCCAAGTCCTTATATATACACAAATGAAGTGCTCAGTAAAACATTTTCTGTCCCTCCTGGTGATCTGCAAGCTGAGGCTTGAATTCAGACTTCTGGGGCTCGTTGGAGCTTAAAGCTAACAGCAGCGTGGGGAGCCTGCCCTCTGCAGCTCGCCCCTCCACTCCCCTCCCCTTCCCCTGCCCAGCTCCATCCTGTAGCCCGCTCAGGCCCAGCCCACACACCCTTCCTTCCCCTTCCGGCCTCAGCAGCCATGGGGCCAGGAGGTTCAGGACTGGGGCTAGAAGTGGGAGGGGTGCAGGTGTGACCAGGCTAGCCCCATGGGAACCCTCTTGGAAACTGGGACCTGGGGTGGGTCACAGTTGCCCAGGTGAGAGGCCACGCCCATGCCTCCTACTCTTTGCTCCCACCTCCCAGAATGCAACAGTGTGCGACTATCTTGGCCTTAAAAAACAAACAAAGCTGTTTCTCCCAACGAGCTGAATTTCATAAAGGAATTTCACTGGTGATTAATGTGCTGACTGTGGCCACCAGGTCCCGGAGCTCTTCTTCCTCTGGCGCTCACAGCTGTGAATGACTGGTGTCCTGAGGAAGCCATCCCCCTCGGCCCCTCCCTCTCTGGGCCTTTCTTCAAATCACTTCTGACCTCCTTGGCCAGAAATGGCAGCAGAGCCCACAGCTGAGTCTTTGGAACAAACCCAGATAGAAACCATCAGCTCATAGTCAGTTGACACACAGCAAGAGGCACAGAGAGGTCCAGAGACTTGCCCAAAGACACACAGCACAAGTAGGCATGCACACTCATGCATGTGTATGAGAGGGCGTGCCCAGGCAGGGTGTGCCCAGCCGTTCCATCTCTGCTACTTCCTTCACCTCTGGTTCAGAGGTCCTAATTGCTTTCTGAAAACCACCCCGGCCGTTTGGGGCCAGGTCTGATATTCATATGGGTCAGGCTGCTGGGCCATCTAGCGCTCGTCCTCTCCGTGGCTGGAGCCCACCATGGCCAAGAAGCGAGGGGTCTTGCACGGTCACCGGTGCAGGGACTTCAGGAGCCTGCAGGCGACGAGCCCTACCTGATGTGAGGTGCCTGTGTCCCAGTCACGGCCCCACCTCCTGCTTTCTTGTCTCAGGGCCCTACTGCCAAGCTCCACTTTCCTCCCCGTTCACAATGTCCCTCCAAAAGGCAGCCTCTCCAGCTCTCACCGCTCTCTTCACACAAAATGCACGCCAGGAACTCTTCCGACCGCAGGATTCTTGGAGAGCAGCCCGTGTCTAGCTCAGCTCTGCCACTGGAACGCCATCCCCACGGTGACCCCAGCCCTCTGCCACCACGCACTCTCGCCCTGTTGTCGGGGCTAAAAGACTCTGAGAGCCTTGGCCCGGGGTGGGCACAGGCTCTCTCCTTAAGCCTGTGGGTCCCTTCCATCACATCTGGTCTGCTTACACCAAGTGGCTTCCCTCCGCGGAGGGCTCCCTTCCCGACTCCTGGCCAGGCACCCTCGGCATGCCAAGGACTGTCAACACTGTTGCTTCTTCCAGAAGGCGTCCTTGGCCCAGCTCCTCTGGAGCCCCCTCGCTGGGCCTTCTCCACCCCCCAGCGTAGTCTTCTTCCTTGCACCTCCCTGCTGCGAGCTCCCTGCTTCCCTGCTCCTGTGGGTTACTGCCTGGAGTTCCACTGCCTGCCTGGCACCCAGCCAGGGTCAGACTCCACGACGGCAGGGATACGATCCATCCTCAGCACTGAAGTGTTCCCAGAAGCCCACACAGCACCTGCATAGACCCATGCGGGCCTTAGCTTCCCTGCCTGTAAGACACAGGGGCACACCTGCTCACACACCATGCAGCCAAAGCCTATCCCCCAGTATAAAAAGTTCCAACCCCTGCATCCTTGACACAGGGCATTTTCATTTTAAAAATCATCATCTGTTTGTTAAGAAAGAAGAGCATTTTCTTTTCCTTTTAACTTCTCTGATTAATGATTGGAGTGAGCTCCTTTCAAATACTGACCAACCACTGTTTATTTCTCTCGTGAACTTGTTCTTTATACTGTGTTGCTATGGGGACAGTCACATCTTTTTACTGTTTTATTTGCAGGCACCCTTGTTATTTTTTCCATCTTTTACTAGTTGGCTATATTTTCTTTGATTTCTAAGTGTGATTTGGGACTATTTCTGGGTACTAATTCAGCTGTTGGTTATTTAAAAATATTAAAAATTAGAGCTGGTGTTTGGCTACTGCTTGGGACACCTGCATCCTATTCTGAAGTGCCTGGTTCGAGTCCCTGCTATTCCACTTCTGATCCGGCTCCTTACTTATGTGTACCCTGGGAGGCAGCAGGTGATGGCTCAAGTACCTGGGCCTCTGCCACCCCTGTGGGAGACGGAGTTCCTGGCTCCTGACTTTGGGCTGGCTCAGCTGTGACTGTCATGCATATTTGAGGAGTAAGCCAGTCTGCCTTTAAAACAAAATAAAAATTTAAATTTTAAGTATTTTAAAATCACTTGAATGTGTATCTCTCTAATTAATGGCTTTAGGCAGAAAAGGAATGAGGTCCCCAGGCCGTCCTCTCCCCCTGGAATGTACACCTGTGAGCGCCCACGGATCCACCCACCATTTGTTCAAGCTAATGATCCCATTCAGGTGAAGCAGAACACAGCCCTGGGCACCCTCCAAGGTCTGCAAGATTCCCTTAAAGTGGAGGTCCGGAGCGAACGTTCCCCATGTGGTGCCGTCAGGAAGGAACCGAGTGCAATTTCTTAAGCCCCTAGATGTGGGGTTTGCTTGTATCTGGTGGGGACAGTACGGCGACCACGACCGTGTTTATTCGATTTGGCCTTGGGCCAGCGCCAGCCCCGGTAACACTCCTCACGTGTGCTTCTTACAGATCCACATTGTTTTCTGTCTCACAAGGCTGTTGTTCTTCTCGGGAGGAGGAGCAGGAGAGGCGACAGAGCCCTGGCATGCGCTGCTCCCCGCATTCCTCGGAACGGGACGCAGGTGTCGCTGAGCCTGGCAAGGTGACCTCACTCCCACATTACATCCCGGGCCATTCATCACTGCTCCCAGCGGACGGACGCCAGTACCGACCTCCCTTGGGCAAGACAATGACAGCGGGCAGAGACGCTCGCGATGGCTGCAGAAGCAGCCGTGATTGCTCTCGGAGCAGGCCCCCCGTTATCCCGGCGGAAGGCTTTCTTCCCTCGCAGATCCTGCTCTGCACGGTGATTAATTACTCACCCACCGAGGTCAAGTTCACGGTGAGATGTGAAGAGTGTCTGGGGAGATAACTTCATGTGCATTGTCCCCGTCCCAGATGGGCTGTGCTCCAGCACAGCTCTGAAAGGCCCTTGTTGGAACTTGGAGCGTATCTCCCCATAGAAACTAGGTTATAAATAGTGGTTGGGTTCCCAGGCTAGCCCACACAACATGACTAAACTTTCTGGGTCTGTCGTTCTGACAGAGCTGGGCTGAGTCTCTCTTTCTGGGAGGGAAGGAGGCTTCGAGGAGGACAAAGCAGAGGACAGCTCCACTTTTACACCTCCCACCGCCCTGCCCCCTGCCAGAGCGCCTCCAGGCGGAACCTCTCTCTCCGGCACTCCTTGGGGGATGTTTGAATCCCAGAGTCCCATTTGGAAGGGACACCAGGGATGTCTCAGCCGCTGCTTCCTGTACTCCGGCTTGTAGCTCACCTGGGGAGCTGGTGAAAATGCAGATGCCGGACCTCAGTTAAGTCAGTAAGCCAGCGACTTCACACACACCACGAGCCACTGACTAATCCCTCCTACAGTCTGATGATGATCTGCTCCATGGCAACATCCGAGTTCGCTGAGCTTCTCCGGAGTTCAGAGTTCACACACACACACACACACACCCCAGCCCCAGGTGTGTGCGATGTCCATGAGCCCGATCCGTAGGCAGAGTCCACCTGCTCCCTGGGACCTGTGCTCAGCCTGCTTCGCCTTCCTGCGGAGCCACGGTGAACACGGCTGCTCCCTCCATGCACAGCGGCCCCTCGGAGGCCATGCTCGCCCCTCCCACAGTGGGCTCTCTCCTCCTTTAGAGCCAGGTCTTCTCAGTTCGGACGTCCATTCTATGAGGAAATAGCATCCACCACACAGAACTGTTGTCAAGAACATTGCAAACAAAATGTACAAACAGCTTTCTCAAGGTATCAGAAAGCAAGCAGGCTCCAGGACAGAGGAGAGAAGCGAAATGCTTTAAGATCAGCCTGCTAGCTGTCCCTGGAGGTGTTTGCAGGGAAGTTAGTTGCAGAAACCAGAAGCCTTGGATCAGACTTTTCTCAGTTCACCGGGGTGGAAGCCTGAAACCGCCATTCAGGGCTACCGAAGTCAGTCTCAGAAGAAAAGGGACGGAATAAAGGGATTCTGTCAGGAGTGGTACTTTCTTTTATTTATTTTTTTTAAATAAGAGATTCATTTTATTTATTCAAAAAGTAGATAGGGAGAGAGAGAGGGAGAGGGAGATGGGGAGATGGGGAGAGGGAGAGAGGGAGAGAGAGGGAGAGAGAGAGAGACAGAGAGATGGAGAGACGGAGAGAGAGATGAGGCTGGTGCTGTGGCATAGTGGGTAAAGCCACCACCTGCAGTGCCGGCATCCC